GAATTTCCTGGTGTCAGTGCAGAAGATTTTTTGAACCTGAAAGATAGTTCTAAAATTTCAGGGGCAACTTCGCCTTTTTATACACTTTATCTACGAAGGTTACTTTCAGGAATACCTTTAGCCCCGCACGAAACTTTCTCACATCCAGTGGCATGTATTATCGCCATAAGTTCACGTAACAAAAATCCGATTGAAGCTTTAAGGAGGCTATATGAAGAATCAAGTCGCGGAGAAAAGCGGTTGCCACTATGGGTCAATGATGATTATCTCCGCTATTATGTTCTGGTACATGATGAAGAACGAGATGATATCACAAAATCTATCACATTATTTGAACAAATGAAACGCCATTTTGGGCTTCATTGTCATCTCTTAAGGCTCCGAAGCAGTCAATGCGTGGCAACAGATGATGATAGTGTACAACTCCCACGGTGCGAATGGATAGCTGCATCGGAGGAAATGGCCGAAATTCAGGCGCGAGAGTCCCAAGAAGACCCCGAAGACTCATTTCCTTGTATATATGAATCCGATACCACTGCCATTAAAACATTCATTCGCGAGATGGTTACTCAATCTGTCGTTCCGTCAATGGAAAGGTGTGTAGCGACCTGGAACGACCAGGTTGCTTCACGGCGAAGAGGAATAAGTGGTAGATTTATGAGCTTATCGAAAACTATAAAATGGCCAGGAGCATTTGGTTCTAGCTCACGAAGTAATTCATCAAATTCGGTAGGATCCGGTAGTAATTATGATGCGTTACAAGGATTTTACCGATCAGATTCACCGGAAGCATTGATGCGAAAGCTCGCAGACTACTCGTTCATGCTTCGGGATTGGAAATTGGCCCAACAAATTTATGATCTGTTACGGTCGGATTTCACTAATGATAAAGCATGGAAATATCATGCGGCAGCCAATGAAATGGCTGCTGTTAGTACCCTCATGATGCCTCATTCTATCAGCGCCAAAACACGTACTGAAACCATCGATATGATGCTCGAAACCTCATCGTACTCGTATATGACACGATGCAGTGCCCCTTATGGAGCCCTGCGCTGCTTGACCTTAGGAATGGAGCTTCTTAGGGTCAGAGGCGGTTCGGCAACTGGCGATGCAGCAAGATGGGGTGCGAGACTCCTTGAACACAAGATTGTAGGTGCAGTTGGCGACTCATTATTCAAGGAGCGTGTTGCGGTCTGTTATGGTACAAAGAAGGGACACGGAATTGGTCTTTGGGGTAGTAGAACAAGAAAATCTGCCATGTGGAGTATCATGGCCGCCGAAGGATGGCTCAGCCTAGAGAAGCCTCATCAATCGAAAAAGAGTCTAGATGATGCTCGGGCGAAGTATGCTACATTGGCAAATAAGGACAGTCTGTTGCATTTTGTGGAAGCAAATGAATTTGTTCAGGGTCTTGAGACCCAGATCGAAAATACTTTATATCCGATCACCGAATCCCAAGCAACGATCATGCCAGATGATGATATGATAGAGACAACCATGGGAGAAGAAAGCGAAGCCTTCAATTCCCGTCCACATCGAAGAAGTCTCCTGGGTGGAGTAGCACCGCCTCCCATTGCGAGTCTCGAATCAGCGCCCTTGCATGGGGCAATAATAGAAGCGGAAGAGAAAGATAAGATTGTTACGAGTAACGATTTTGAACAAGAATAATGATAGGGTGGGAGCATTATTAGTTGTGAATGAGAGCGAGCGAACTTCCTGCATATACCATTTTATTTCGAGAGGAACCTTTGACAGTGTTTGGAGGAAAGCATTGCAAAATAGGAGTCTGAGGAGTTATAGATCTGGTTGAAGATAGGTCTCAGGGATGAACATCGGGGTCATATGTACGAATATGCTATGAGATGAATTCAATGAACGACTTTGGCAATGATCAATATTATCAAGTTTTATGTAGTAGTCGTTCATGAATCATGACACTGCCATTTTGTCAAATATTTTGTAGTTTGACAACATCAGCGCTGCTTCAGTGAATTTATTGTAAGTATGATCTTGTTCTCTTACTTTCCACGGATCTTAGTGTTACCAAGTTCTTATCATTAGTGATTTTCCACCAAGTGGGGGTAGTAGTGTTGAAGTGGCCCTTTGAAAGCAGTCGTGGATATTGCCCATAGTGAGAGCATAGCTGATATCTCTCAAGTTCCATCAAATGAAAATTATCAAAGTCTCCCGCGTTTTTATACCTAGTCGTTGTTAGGTTTGCACCAATCTGTGCGAGACGAAATGAGACGGAAAGTCAACACTGTACTAGATTTATAATCAATTTGTCGGTGATGATGGCGAGACTATGTCTCGGTTAGTATTGATGTTGGTCCATAGATTATCAGTGAAACACGTTTTCATAATGCCTTTGTCTGGTTCTAGATTGGGAATATTGTTGGATAGATCCTTACATTTACGGCAATCGTGGTTTACGCGATCTTTAATCTAGAAAGTATCATCTCACGTGTAGGAAAGCTGTTTGGTCCGAAAGGGAAGTGATGAATTTGAAAGATAATTTATCCTAACTTTACGATCTAATTCTAACTTAAAGCAAAGGTAATAGTAATATCAGCGCAATCGATCCAGACGAGTGTCTGATCCCCCCTCCCCCAAACGAGCCAAACGAGTGTGTGAGTTCTATCATGATACATAGTAGGAAAGCAACAAGCAAAAAAAAAACAATAAAAACAACAAAAAAAAATACAAATATTCTCCCCTTCTCCCTCCTCCATGCCCCTTGTCTTTCCTTCCCTAAACCTCCCACCCGCCTCCTAGAACCTCATTCCCAGATGTTAAACTCTCATTCCAGAATTCACATCAAACATTGCACACCTCACTAGATACATCTATCACTATTTGGGCTATCAGTTCCCGCCAACCAACAGCCATTTGCGCAGTACTTGGCCTCTCCCAGCAAGCCACCGTCGACGCACTGGAAGAGCCCGCGGAAAATGTGATCATCGTCAGGGGTGAGGTGAGAGGTACTGAGCGCTTGCATGATGGTGTCGTGGTAACTGCCTGGGGTTTGTGTTAGTGGGTTGAGTGTTTTAAGGGGGACGGGGGGGTAGGAGAGGGAAGGGGAAGGGGACGAGGAGCAGTGAAAAAAGGAAGAAGAAACGTAATCGTACCGATTGTGAGCAAATCCCCGCCACAGTAGTAAAAATCCTTAGTGCAATCTTTTGCCATCGCCTGAGCGCTGAGGACGGAGAGGGTAAGGGTGACGAGGGTGGAAAAATGCATTTTGATTGGGCTTCGGGAATGTATGAATTGTGTTTTATAATTCAATGAGAAGTAGAAGTGGTCAATGGTATTGTTATTGATGATATGATAAGCAGAGCGAAGTGGTGGTTGTTGATGATATTGAACTGGAAGAGAAAAGGAAAGGAAAATCTTGCAGCTCTTATAAGTTATATTTTTCATTCCTCTATCGAGACGAGCCGTATTCCCGTTCCAAACATCTCACATACAGCGCCTTTCGTATATCTCGGCGTTCCTTCATCAAATGTTGATGGTGCTTAACGCGGTGTATCAGGCCCTTAACGCTAGGCGTCAATATTTCGAGACGTATTTTTGACGCGAGCCAAGCTCAGCATACAATTCTGCAAATAGGCTGCGAAAATAATTATCTGTAGCCGCGGGGTGAACTGAAGGTAATCTGACCCACGAGTTACTCGCTAGAGATCCTACCTGCCCTGCCTGCAATTTATCTGCAGATTATTTGCGTTCCCTATTTTCAATTAAATTTGAAGCTATTCGAAAACTATTTTGTAGCCTAAAAGTGATCCAAGCGTAGATCTGAACATATTATTTGCAAGTAATACGCAGATAATTTACAGAGAATTTACATATACCTCCGACAATCTATATCTTCCAGCTTGACATTCGCATCGTGATCGATATATCAATTCAAGCGATATTAAGAATTTTGAATATCCCCGCTCAATGTCTTCAAATACAACCGCCAATTCTAAACATCACCTCGAGTTCGTATAAAGTAACCATCTCTTCCCAGTCTGCATACATGTAAAGAATATCCGCGTCAGAGAAGAGAGGAGTGTCCCGCAACACACAATCTATATTAAAGATTCATTCGCCCCCCTTTCCTTTCCTGCACGATTCTTCCTTCATTATCGTCATTTCTTATTGCACACTGCACACTGTACAGCAAAGACAAAGGAAATTGCACACAAATATCCTGTATACAGACTGAATTCTGATAACCTGATGTATTTCCCAAAAACGAAAATATGCAAGTAAATTGGTGATAAAGCCCATCACTCCCATCTCTCTCTATACACATACAAGTGAAAACACTACCATTTCCATTACCACCATAAACATGAAACTCTCCAATATTTATGTAATAAATCCAAGTTCAAGTCCACTTCCAAGTCAAGTCCAAATTCTAGCCCAAAAGAAAATTTCCACAAGCAACCATAGCTAAAACCAATACACCTACCTAGGTCTTAGTTATATAAAAATACATGCCGAAGCTTGATTTAATAAAATTCAAGGAAGCATTGATGGATGGTGTAGAGAATTAGATACGAGGAAAAGAGAAGGAAAGGAATAGACGTCTACATTGTATGCAATCTGATGACCGATCAAAGATAATTTAACCACCGCGAAGATAAAGAAACGAACCATATAAGAAATATACAAACACTAGCCCACTATACATTCAAGTACTTTATAGAAATTGGTGCCTAAATTTCCCGCGAAATTTTGAACGTCCGGGAACAAAATGGTGACGCACGAAAAATCTTCTTTCGTCATTGTATAGCTAGGAAATTTTCTTTTATCCAAAGATCGTATCGTTCAACTAAAGATCTCTGATCCGATATAATATAATTATATCTCTTTAGTCTTTGGTATATCCTATCCCAACGCCACTTCCCTGTAATAGGACAAGCCACTAAAAGCGTGATTCCCCTTTTCCCACATCCGAATATTCCAAGCCCAAGCCGCATATAATACCAATACCCAATCATTTGATATCAAATCCGAACACCAGTATCCTCTCCCTCTTCATCCTTACCCGCCTCACCAACAATAAACTCCAATACTTTACAAACCCTCTCATTTAGAATTCCGCCTCTCGCGAGTTCATCTTCCGAGTCCAGTCTCTCATCCAGTTCCTTTGCTTCTGATCCCGTTTTCATTGTTCTTCTCTCTTTCTCAACACGTGCTTTGAGAGCTCGATCAACTCTGACGGGAACGGCTACGACCACCCTTACTAATAAAAGCATCATCCTCGCTTTCCCTACTAAATCCCATCTTCCTAATCTTCTCAGCCTCTTCTGAACCCTCCATATCCTCCCCATTTCAATATATATCAATAAAGCCCATACCCGTCCTCTCATAACCAATTCTCTTACTTTTATAAAAGCGACTTCGATAGAAGAAGTTACGTCGGTATTAATAAGGTGAGGGTATTGAGAATTTAAGGATGATAAAAGCGAGCGGATAGTAATGAAGTCGCCTGTAAGGAAGTCATGTATGAGTGATGAGACGGTAGTTCGAAACAAATTGTCTGAGGCTAAGGATGGAGAAGGATGTTTGGTGGGTAACGAAGTCGAAGTAGAAATTGAGGACAAAGAAGTGGCGGAATCGTAAGCTCGACGAGAAGACGGAGATTTGAGAATTTCAAAGGAGAAGGCTAGACGTTGGAATGCGCTGAATGATAGATTGTCAGTTCACAATCGACAAATAGGGGGTACGTAGGCGAAAGCGAAGGACAAAAGAAGAATTACCGGGTAGAAAGCGGATGAAAAGGAATTCTATCGGGATGACATATTTTCGATCGTTCTAAATAGCATCGTCGCAATTCTGCACCCGAAGCGGATCTTTGTGCTCCAAGAATTTTGTATAGCTAGATGTATTATATTGTCAATAAGCGGATTCTTTGCTTTGCTTGTACCCCTCAGCCCCTCTATGGCAAAGCGTGGTACTTGTTTGCGCCACAGCTTTTCAAAGAGTAGGTAGGTACAGGGCAATAGAAGAGGATCACGAAAACCAGACGACAATGTCATACACAGGTAGTAAAGAAAATAAACATACATCTTCCTCAGTGAGAATACCTATTCATCACGAAAAACAAGACCCAAGTCAGCAATTTTTCGCATATCAAATCCTCTCTCCAGAACTCCGAGATTCAAGACCAAACATCGAAAATCACATGTCAAACATGAGCAAAAACTCACTCTGGATTACATCATCCTTATTAGAAGCCAAAATGTCCCCGAAATCCCTCTCAATCATTCTAATACACTCTCTTCCACCCAAATAATCGAAATCAATCAAAAAGAGTACTAAAGAATGAATATAGAAAGCATTTTGCCCAAGACAGTGAGATGTAGATGGTTACATGGAAAGACAATGTGGAAAAAGTAGGGGATCGGAGTAAAGTTAGTGCTTCACAAGGCAAAAAGAAGTGGTGGACTTTCACATGGAAAAAAGAAATTGTGGTGGTGTGAGGCGTGAGGCGTGCGTTGATGTGTGTGTCAGCGGGGGAAAATGAGGATTTCCGGTTGGTTAAGGAGGGAAAAGTTGAATGACTAAAGAAATTGTGCAAGGTTATGTATGGTTGGATTTTTTGTGTGATATAACATGGAATTGAAACGCCGAATATCTACCTAGGTAGATAGGTAGACAGGTACCGACGACAAACCTAAAGTCGGTGTAGGCATAGGATATATTAGATGTCAATAATCGCAAGGTCAGTCGTGCGTGCACTTTGAAATATCGGGACTGTATTGAATGTAGTATCCATACTTGGGTACTGGTGACACAAATTGATCATTACAATTAATCATCCAAGCTCCGCAGAATCAGAGAATCAAGCATCAAATTGAGTGTATATATCGTCATTTTTCATCTATTTGGACAAAGCAACTCCAAACTCCTATTACCACCGCCTATCCAATTAACTCTCAGTCTCTACGTACTCTCTCAAGTACAGTATTCAACAATGAGATGCTCAACGTCTTTAAGCTCTCCCGATTGCTACCCCATAACTTTAAAACACGCATCTGCTATCCTCACTTCATATCAAGGCCTTTATCATCCATCTCACTCATTTTTTGCGTATCTTCCTCGTCTTCAATTGTCTCCTGCTTGAAATTTTTCGTCCCAAATCCAGCCCACGAGCCCTGTTTGAAAGGTCCTTGATAATTGTTAGATCCTTTCTAGGAGGCAATTTGATCAAGAACTTTGGAGATAGTACCTTTCAGTGGCTCTGAACCTGGATTGGTATTATTCTTATCTTGCTTCTCGTTGGTCATGATAAAGTTGATGGTGCGTCCTCCAAATTTGAGCCAAACCCTCCCACTCTCGTTCTCGCAAGGAGTATATACGGCTTTTCGTACGATCTGCATGACTGTGGAGAATTGAAAAACTTAAAATAATGTCCTGGGATGTGGTTGCTAATCTGATATCCTAATCATTTTGGAAGCGTGAGATTTATGTATCAAAATTAGAAGTCCTCCAGTTCTTGATGGGGGTCTTTGCCAAGTGTTCAGATCAACTGGTATATATACCAAAATTCCTTGAACTCAATATCTGTGGTATCTTGTTCAATGATCCGGCAGACAAGAACTATTACATGGACATTGTAGCGCCATGGAAACAAAAATCCATAGAGGGATCAATTCATAGCCCTGGACGGCGGTGGTAGACCTGAGACCGAACATAGCTTTGTGAGGGAGCATTGTGAAATTCCATAAAAAGATATTCCATTTTAAACACTTCGTATGATGGATCTCCCCAGCATTTTCAATTCCAAGAGTTTGGGTTCCATAAGCCCTCCCTTAGAGTCTTGCTTCGTGACAAATCGCATGTAAGATCTGACCTTCAAGTCAAACGCGCGGCTATGTAGGAATGCACGGTTTCCCTTCGAGGCCCTGTGAACGGACAGATCCAACAGGCAACTTTGAATGTTTATGAGAAGATGTATTCCGCATGTATAGCTCCAAGTGCATGGAATTCAGCAAAGAGATCATTCGTGAGGCTCATGTAAGGTTGAACACACCGAGCGACCCAATATTACAAGTAACATGTGAGTTCTTATAACATGAGGTCACCCATAAAAAAAGAACAAGGTAATCTAGTTAAACACCTGGATATCATACTGACTACTAAGTCAGATGAGAAGAACTTTCTTAGATATTTACACTGGGTGAGTGGCTTTGAATCAAATAATGAGATAGGGGGAGAAAATGTGTAAAATTACGCGTGAATTGTTCATCATGACTTTTTTCGACTACCACAATCAGCATTTGCTCCACACATGTCGAAAAGAATGAGATATCTGGAAAGTTTCAATTTACTATCTTTCGCTCATCGTGGAAGAGGTTCATGGCTGCGATATTCTTCGAGAAGACCTCGAGAATCTATTGTCAATTGTGTTCAGGACCTGCGATGTATTCCCGAAAGGACATAAACTTCTAGAACGAAGCACTGTAATATAGCGTTGTTATCCTGAAAAAGACGGGCTTCTATGTAATCGATTACTAAGCCACATCCTCTCGAATATCCATTCCCTTTCTACCACCAATTTTTCTCAACAACAAAATATACATCTATATAACCACGCCTGACATTCATAATGTTCTTATCTGCTCGTAGTCCGGCTAGAGATACACTTCGAAACTCGAAACATGACGAGAATGGTATCACGTTATTGTCATCTAGTGGTACAATCTCCAGACTTTTTGAAACAACTTATTTCTAACACGTGACTAGTTCTACCATCATCTTACTCTTTCGAGGATCTGTATCAAGAGCTTGTTGATAAAAAACAGGGAGGTGAGGATGTAAGTTACATTCCTCAATAATTTGTTTGATTTGACTTCCTGCTAAATAGTTAGGAGGAGCTAGAAACCCTCGTCATCCTCGCCAGCAGCTTGAAGGAAAATTCGAACATATTGAAAAAAGCAGATGATGATATATGGCACGAGAAGCTTGAGGATTATTTATCAAAGGAATTGCTACCTGATGGAAAGATTTTTTCTCTAGATAAGATTGATGGTAATGTGTCTCCGGCAAATTCAGATGTTGGGAGTATAAACTCATATTTCTAAGAAGAAGACAAACCTGACAAACTCCACAAAATCAAGCAATGTAGAGAAAAATATAGCCTCTGTATTCTTTCGATAGAGCACCTACTTAATATCTCTTCGAATACAACACAACCACCGAAGAACTCGGCTCTTCTTTCTCTCATCCCATTCACTAGTACCAATTATGCCTGGACGACTCCTCAGTCTCAACTAATCGCCATCACAATATTCGATAAATATGAGTCTTACGCAAAGTCTCCAGAGTTTTTGGTGAATCATCTCTTGAGGTCCTTCATCCGTCTCATATTTTCCGAAGCCTCCACTCCCGAATCCATCACTGCATCTTCACGGAAAGCATTTCCATCATCTGCACCACCCCGTCATTTCGATATCCTCGAGTCCTCTCCTTCAAAGCAACCTTGGAGGTCAACTATTCCATACACTATACCTGTCTTACAATGGGTCGTCGATGTCATTCCTGTACGTTTTCCTCTTCTCACTCCAATCCTAGACTAACAACCACATTAAGCCGGATCTTCTCCGTGCGCAAGCATGGCCTCTATTAACGACTCCTATTCTAATACTCCTCGATTCACCATCAAATCCAATCCGAATTCACGCTCTTCGAATCCTTCCCACGCTATTTTCGAAAATGGATGACAAATTGCTTCAACAAACAGGACTAGGTGATGTTTTCGAGAATACTATCCACCCAGTTTTGTTATTCTTACCATCCACGACACCCGTCGAAGAAACACTCAAGTTATTGCCAGAGGGATACAAAGCTTTGAATGCACTTTGTAACGCGATCTGGCCTAGTAAAGGAGACGAGGAGCCTTCTACAAGTGTGACCACCATAGCCTTAAAGAAGCCCTCGAAACACAACACAACCCCGTCCAAATCACCAGCTCAGCTTCGTCTCGCATTCCTTGACAGAATAATTCGCCATGCTATTCTCCCTGCTTACTTACACTGTCAAGAAATACCTTCCGTGGTTGAAATACTGGTCGTACAAATCGGTATCATCATCCCAGAGATGAGTATTTCGGGCGTGAAACATCTCAAGGATATATTGCCTGTACTAGTAAATATTCTATCGAACCCCTTCTTTCCCGATACCTCTCCATCACTCGTTATAAACACGCTAAAGACACTCAGAGAGGTGATTCTAGTCCTTTGGCCCCGCATTAGTGCCGATGATCATCGATTAGTTATTATAAGCGCTTTAACACTTCTAAACTGTCATACTTGTGTAAAAGTAGATGAAAAATCTGAGGAAAGAAAAGAGGCAGGTTTAGAGATATTAAATGAACTACTGGAGACGGGAAAAGTGTTCACAGCAGTGGTCCAACAAGTAGGTGATGAGAAGGAGAGGGAGAATTTTGATCAAGAGTTGGCGAGGGTTATCGAGACTGATGGAACGCTGGCTAGAGTATTTCCCAGATGATTGTGGTGAAAGGCACTTGCAATTTTCATATATATAAATATAAGAATGCGATGTTCTCATACATGGTCACAAGACATCTCGTATTATCTCTCAGTACTATTAATTAGCTCTGCCGAAGCCAGAACTACTAGTGCTCACTCTGATGAGCATTCTGACACTATTCCTTTCCCCTATTCAACAAAAGAAAAAGTGGAAAATCCCCAGACGATTGCCAAACGCTCTCTGTCAAAAAACACTCTTCCTCTTTCTCACATACCTACCTAGTTCCTCAATTTCCAATCCAAATATCCAATCAAAACCTAAAAATCTATCCTCTCTATCAAATTTCTAGCCAATTCACCACCTGCGCTTTCGCCCTTGTCAGTGAGACAGACCATCATTGTTTACCCAGGTATCGCATACTCATTTGTATCAGAAACCCAACCACCAGTCCACTTCCTCGTCTCATCTCCTCTCATACCATACCGTGAAAAAATTATTCAAACGATGAAAATTCCATGCCCACACATTTCTCCTTCCGCTTCCTTTCTCTTCTCCACGAACTCTGACTCCAACTCCAATTCCAATTCCCTCCTTAAAACCCCTTTATCTCGTATCTACAATCAAAAACAAGAAAAAAGCTTCGAAGTTCAAAAGCCCCAAAATTAAAAAGTCGAAGGTGATGAGAATTACTATATATTAATAAAGAGGATTTTCCACAGAAACGGCTAAATTCGGCATCCTTCTATTATTTAAAGCTCGAGAGTGAGGATATA